TCTATTCATTATCTATCTATCTATCTATCTATCTATCTATCTATCTATCTATCTATCTATCTATTTCAGGCTGCTCATATCTATCTATCTATGTTTTATTTTCTATATCTTTTTTTTTTTAGAAAAAAATGATAGATAGATATATAAATAGATAGAGTATATATTTGGCGTCAAACCTCTTTTTATGCGTGGTTTGTTGATTATAACAAGGAATGCATTGTAAATTTAGGTTCTCGTGGCCTTACAATTTATTGGATGTTAATTATGTCGAGAAAATGACCGTACATCCACATTGTTTTTATGTTAACAGTGTATCACACACACACACACACACACACACACACACACACACACACACACACACACACACACACATATATATATATATATATATAAATATAAGTATTGTGGGAACCTAACCTAACCTACCTACAAATGGACTATTCCACACTTATATAATGTGGCTACCAACTATGAGTTGGGAAGCACCAGTGAGAGAAGTCGAACTCTCTGCGTTAGCAGAGAGGAACCCGGACGAAGCTTTGCCGAAGGGCAAGGTTTCGTCCGGGGAGGTAGACAGGGACTGAACCCGTCTAGTTGGATTCAAGGGATATATTTTTGGCCGAGCCTACGGGCTCGGAGCAACCCACATTAAACTCGGCCTTGTGCCACATTCAATCCTCGTGGGGGGATCGATAAATATTGAGCACCAGTGAGAGAAAGTACTCTCCTTTCCACGTTTACTATTGTACTTCTTTTACCCAGAATATATTATTAAACCTTATATCCGAGTCAGAGTTATCTTTCATGGTCCACCCATAACAATAAGCTATCACGGATTCTATTTCTGACACGTACTTAGTTGGGTTGATAAGACGGTCGACCTATGTCTTCATCTGCCGATATAGGCTATTTCCCATATGAGGTGATTTTGGATTTTATTGTTTATTAATTACTTGCTCTATAATAAGAAATACATTGAGCGCTTTTTGTGAATATGATTTTATATTACTAGGATCCACTTGTATTATATATCAAAGGATTTGTTTCCTTTACTATATATATATATATATATATATATATATATATATATATGCATGTATGTATAATGTTTAATACCTATACTTGACAGGTATTAACAAAAAACAAAAAAAACAAAACAAAACAAAAAAAACGGATAGTACAATTTGCAAATAAAAATGTATTTAAAGAAACTGGTATCTGGTGGGAAAAAATTTCGAAAAAAATGTAAAGACGAAAACATCCGAGTAGGTCGAAAAAAAATCGACAAACGCCGTACAAAGAAAAAAAACAAAACAATCCAATAAAATAAGAAAAAGTTTAAGGTGCTCAATACACTAAGTAGAGCAGAGTATAAAAAGAGAGAGAGAGAGAGAGAGAGGGAGAAAAGAGAGAGAGTAGAGAGAGAGTAGAGAGAGAGAGAGTAGAGAGAGAGTAGAGAGAAAGAGAGAGAGTAGAGAGAGAGAGTAGAGAGAGAGAGTAGAGAGAGAGTAGAGAGAGAGAGAGTAGAGAGAGAGTAGAGAGAAAGAGAGAGAGAGAGAAAGAGAGAGAGAGAGAGAGAAAGAGAGAGAGAGAGTAGAGAGAGAGAGTAGAGAGAGAGCCAGCCGGAAACTACTTATCTAGTTTTCGCTTAAATGGATCTTCAGGGCGTACTGGCTGAAGAGGATTTGAGAAAGCAATACTATATATATATATATATATATATATATATATGTATACAGTGTAACCCGGATATAAGAGAGTTGTCGGGACCGGAGAAGAAGTCTCTTATATCCGGGTTTGGTCTATTTTATATACATTAACACAGGCTCCAATTTGGGACCGGAGAAAATCTCTCTTATATCCGGGTTTCTCTTATATCCGGGTTACACTATATATATATATATATATATATATATATAAAGTGAACATTGAAATCAATACTCAGAGTCGACAGGCTGTTTCATGCTAGATGCAATCGTCAGACGGCCTGAGTTTTGACTTTAATGTTCACTTTTATATTTACATACGTTCTATCTCTATTGATATTGACCGCTTTATCCCATATATACAGAAATACCTTAAATCTATATTTCTTCAAGAAATATAGTCTTAAGGTGTGCTATATTTATGGGATAAAGTGCTCAATATCAGAGAGAGATAGAATAAATATAAAAGTCGTTCAACACTTAGGCGACAATCGTCGTCAGGCCTGACGATTGCATATAGCATGAAACAGACTGTCGCCTCTAATGTTAACTTTATGTTCACTTTATATATATATATATATATATATATATATATATATATATATATATATATATATATGTGTGTGTGAGTGTGTGTGTGTGTGTATGTAGTTTTAAGGTGTGCTATATATGTGTGTAAAATTAAGTGAACCCTTTGATAATATTAAACAAAAATATCTCTTAATCTATATTGATTAAGAAAAAGAATTATTTTCGAGTTGCAACCACTTTCAAAAAGGTAGTTAAAATATTGTCGGCGACAAGAAAAAAAAACACTTTTTTGTCACGACATTTTGTTTTGTTGTCACAAAGGTTAAAATCTGCCAGAAAAAAGATTATTGCCGGGAAATTCCAACATTAGCTGTACTATCAACAGCCTCTATGACTGTGATGCGAAATTGGAGATTACGATGCGTTTGGTTGTGATGGGAAGTTATGCAAATTGGCAGCTTGTTGTGCGATTGGAAAGCTTGAGGTATTGCAAGCCATGATAAGGTAAACATCTTTGGCGTCATAAAATCGTTTCCTTTCTTTTTTCCTTTGCTGAGAGACGGCGTTGACGGTATTGCTTTTGAAAAAGAAAAAGAACTGCTCTCTCCAGATTAGGGTTCTAACTGCCAAAATCCTGCCTGCGCGGATTCCGCTGATGTCACCAGCCAAAATCATAAACATATTCCTTTCGTAATTTAAAACACACACACAAGCAAAAAATCTTAGCTTTTTATATTAACGGTTTCAATCGAAGAAATAAAAAATTGATAAAGGAAAAATATGGGCCTAAACATACGGATCGATATCATATTGGAATGTAGTTTCGGGATTTTCAGATATTTGTGTGAAATTTGTTTACATTAAAATTCTGCATCTAAGTGGAAGAATCCGCGTATTAGAGTGGATCAATAAGTCATTAGCCTAACACAGCTTATTGAAAGTTTGATCTGTCTAATTCGAGATTAAAATTCTATACTGAATTACGTGTATTAGCAACGAGCAGCAATACCGCAGCTGATCGATCAGAAGAAGCGTTCAATTAGAATGGAGCAAATCAGAATCATGTTAATATGTAACAGAGTACTTTCATTAAAGAAACATTTTGAATTAATGCAGTTACTGATATAACAGAAGTCATCTGTATTTATTCAATCGAAGTTAGCCGAGGACATGAAGGGGTAAAACAAGTAACATGAAGACCCACTTCAGACCACAGTTATTTTGGAGTTTTTGAAATTCAATTTGTCAGTGCTTAAATGTTTTTTCGTCTTCAAAATTTGCCCATTTTTTTTTTTATTTACAACTAGCCATAGCCAGCTGGTCGATCAGAAAAAAGCGTTAAATTAGAATGGAGCAAAAACAACATCATGTTTAGATGTAACAGAGTCTAACTTCTTCAATTACTTTAAATTACTTGCATTAAAAAACATTTTGAATTAATGCAGTTACTGATATAATAGAACTAGTCTGTATTTATTCAATCGAAGTTAGCCGAGGACATGAAGGTGTAAAACCCACTTCAGGCCACAATTATTTTGGAGTTTTGGAAAATTCAATTTGTCAGTGTGCTAATAGGGATTTAAAAGAGGATACATTATAAAGCAATTGTTACGTTTAATGAAAATTGGTTGAAAGATCAAAGAAAAATAAGAAAGAAACCAGTAAAAATCGCCATTTTATAAAATATAAACGGGTTTTCACTTTGTGGGTGCACTCAATTATCAAGTTAAATGACGGTTACACAATCAACTTATTGTTGGCTACAACTGAGTGAAGTTTGTATTAGATTGCTTGAAAATTAAGGGAGTTTTTAGTTTAAAATTTGTGTTGAAATCGATTTGTGTTGATATCAGTTTTTCGTTTTTTTGCGGTTTTTCCCTAAACGCAGTGGCGTAGAAATAAAAATGAGGTATCGTTGAGCTCGTCATGATGTAACTAACCTACATAAGGAGTTTGAACGAAATCAGAGGAAAAAAGTTGAATTTATCAATTTTTGATCGGCATTATCGATTATTGATTTTTAAAAAGTATCAGTTTTTAGGCTAAGAACCTATCACTTATATTGTACGATGTATGTGCCAAGTTTGGTCAAAATCAGTTGGATGGATATCGAGTGAAAAGGTATCACACAGACAGAGAGACAGATACACAGACATCCTCTGTTTTTTATATATAGATGATTGATTCGTTTTCCAGCTTATCAACATTTTTCAGGTTATTTAAAATTAGAATATATTTTTAGATTGTAAAATTTTTTTTAAAGAGAGTATGGTTTAGTGATATATGTCTTACTAATTAACCCATAGCCGGGGAAAGGAGAGGTGGATTCATATCTAATCAGAATTTGATAAACAAACAATTAATTATAATATGGATGTAAAGTAGGGGATCAATTTTATATTACAGTCAATATAAAACGTTATCCCTCACTTTTTGGCCATAAATTAGGAATTCATAAATTGTACATATTGGTGTAGTTAAGAATTCGCTTGCTTTCTTGATTAATTTGTTTTCTACAGGTTATCAAACTTTTTGCAGGTTATTCAAAGCCAGAAAATATTTTAGATTATAAGTTTTTTTTTTTTTTTTAGATAATAATGGTTTTAGTGATACAGATCTTACTAATTAACCTATAGCTGGGGGGAGAAGAAGTGGATTCATACATTTCCTAAGTGTATTTGTGTGTAAGTTGGAATTGGAACTCGTCTCCTTGGTTAACAATTCTGAGCCATTATCCATCATGCCACACGCACACACAAGCTTACATCACTTGGTATTCCCAAGCAGTGACCCATCTAAGTACTGACCAGGCTGGACGTTGCTTAACTTCGGTGATCGTAGGGGAATCGGTGTTTCAACGTGATGTGGCCGTAAGCCGTGTATTGAGAAGGCAAGCATTTATATTGGGAAAGAAATATTGTGTAAAATAAATGTTTTTATTATTATTATTATTATTATTATTCTATACATTTTTGCTATACTTATGTAAATGACGTTCTTCGACGAACAACAAACTGCAGTCCCATCGCCACCACCAAAACCACCACCACCACCAAAACAACCACCACCACCTCGTCTGGAGTGGTAGACAGACCCGACCCCGTTTTTTACGATATCTACGGGGTATTTTTGCCGAGCCTACGGGCTCGGATACCCCACGTTAAATTCGGCCTTGTGCCACATCCGACCGCGTGGTGAGGTTGGCAGATATTCTAGCTGAGATCTTTTTCGTCTGTACTGTCGCACTCTCTGCCTCCGGGGAGAGAGGAACCCGGACGAGGCTATGCCGAAGGGCATAGTCTCGTTCGGGGAGGTAGACAGACCCGGTCCCGTTTATGAGGAGTCTACGGGGATTTTTTTGGCCGAGCCCACGCGACTCCACATTAAATTCGACCTTGTACCACACGTGACTGCGTGGAACAGTTGCTAGATAATCTTGCTAAAATCTTTTTTGGCTGTGCTGGTCGAACTCTTTACATCTGAGCAGACAAGAACCCGGACGAGGTTATGCCGAAGAGCAGAGTCTCGTTCGGGGAGGTAGACCGACTCGGTCCCATTTATGCGGGGTTTACGGGGAATTTTTGGCCGAGCCTACGGACTCGGGAATCCAACATTAAATTCGGCCTTGTGCCACATGTAACTGCGTGGGCAGTAGCTAGATACTCTAGCTGAAATCTTTTCAGATGTGCTAATCGAACTCTCTGCCTTTTGGCAGAGAGGAACACGGACGAGTCTTTTCCGAAGGGCAGAGACTCGTCCGGGGTGGGGTGGGGGGTTGTTAAGCAGACCCGAACCTGTTTATGTGGGTTTTGCGGGAAATTTTTGGCCGAACCTACGGGCTTGGATGACCCACGTTAAACTCGGCCTTGTGCCACATCTACTCCCGTGGTGTCGGGGAGAGGTGGCTACTAAATATTGACTAACTGGAATCTTTTCCATCTCTGGTCAAACTCTCTTCTTCCGGGCAGAGAGGATCCCTTGACGAGGCTATTTCGAAGGGCAGAGTCTCGTCTCGGGAAACAGCTACCCGACCAACGTTTTATACGGGGTCTACGAGGAATTTTTGACCGAGCCTACGTGCTCGGATTACCCCACATAAATCTCGGCTTTATGCCACATCCTACCTCGTGGGGAGGCTGGATAATATCGACTAGCTGGGATCTGTTACTCAGCTCTTAGCTGTTGTCGAACTCTCTGTCTTCGAGTAGAGAAGAACCCGAATGAGGCTATACCGAAGGGCAGCCTCGTCCGGCGAGGTAGACAGACACGAAGCCGTTTATGTAGGATTTTTGGCTGAGCCTACGTGCTCGGATTGCCTCACATTAAATTCAGCCTTGTGCCGCATCCTACCCCGTGGGGAGGTTGGTAATTTTTACTAGCTGGGGTCTGTTGAGTACGAATCAGACTTGCGCGAGAACTACCGACCTTCCAATAGTAGTACTCACTATTGAATTGACTTGCGATGACCTTTTGCATAACTGTGACCTTTATTCTTATTGTATTGGTTTTTTTTAATAATAACCCTTTACTTATTTTATCCACCTTGTTTTTCAAGTATATATTCCTATTAGGACGGAATATAACATCCAGCTAGTGCAAAAGTAAAACGGTGAGACCTAATTGCCAATCTAGTCGTGCGCTTAAATTCATGCAATCGAGGCGCGAAGGAACTCTAAGCAATCCTCACCAAAACTTTCTGTCCTGTGCTAACTACCGAAAGTGCTGCCCGTTTCTTAATATCTTCAAGGATTTGTTTTTAAACAATTCACCCCGAGCAAGGGGATAATGCCACTAAGATGCAAGGGTATACTGGTAGTGAAAGAGAACGAGAAGACTTTGGAAGGAACCGGAAACCGTACTACAGAGAATAACGGGATTTTATTGTTATTTGAGGTATTCATTTCACTTAATATTAATTCTATGTATTTTAAGATTTATACCTCCAGGCTGAATATATTCAGACTACTTTAGGTAATAATGGTAAAGGTAATAATGGCACCGGTAAAAATGGTACGGTTAAAAATAACACAAGTGGTGAAATAGGAAAAAATCTCCATCTATAGTAGTTGATTTTGTATACATATTGTGATAAAGTAATCCGGAGTAATCTCCCCTTGCTTTACAGTTACCTCCCTTTGGAGAACTCTTTCGTTTGTAGAGGACTATGAATAGTAACTACACTAGTATCAATTATTCTAAGCAGGATAAAGCTTCCTTAAGCTTAGTCTTACGCTTTTTTTGTTATTGCACATATATCCTT